GGCTTGATCTTCAAAGAAGGGCTTGTATATATATCTTGTTCTTCTTGAAGGGCCTCCGGGTTCAAAGCTTGATCTTCAATGGAGTTTTGGATCAATGGGCATAGGCATGATCATTATGGAGGAGAAGCTTTTACTTTCAGGATCACATTTTTATTGTGATATCTGAATAAGCTTCAAAGCTTTAAGATATTTCTATGAGTTTTACCTAGGATGTGTGATTACATAGAAATGAGAGCTCCTATTTATAACTGTAGGATAGAAGAGTTTTGATAGGTTCAAACTCTTTTGATATTATCTAATTAACAAATTAGATAATATCAATATTATCCAAAATATTTTAAATATATTCAAATATACTAATATTGATAAATAATCAATATTTATCAAAATTTAAGTGTCTACAAATGCCCCCTCGAGACTTTCTTGTACACCACTTGAGAGCATATAACACTAGAAAGTATGTAGTGCAAGAAAGTCTCGACACTACAACTTAAAGATATAAGGCCGTTTCAACTCGTGCCAAGGAGCCTTGAAAGATATGAGGCATTTTCAACTCGTGCCAAGGAGTATCATTTAGCCTCCTCCATTTCAAATTTCATATGGGGTTTACCCCCATACCGGTTGAAAGTGCCTATGAAGAGATAAGAGGCAGAGCTGTCCCACCGGGCGTGCCAATTTGTGAACAAAGAAAATTGAATATAATATTTAGAAATTCAAAATTCTGGTTACATATCAAGTATCAATGCGGTGTGGGTACAAGATCTCTGGATGTCCTCTGATTCTACAATTTGATGCCTTGAACACTCCACCATTGAAGGGCCTCCGGTTTCAAGTGGCTTGATCTTCAAAGAAGGGCTTGTATATATAGCTTGTTCTTCTTGAAGGACCTCCGGGTTCAAATGACTTGATCTTCAATGGAGGTTTGGATCAATGTGCATAGGCATGATCATTATGGAGGAGGGGCTTTTACTTTCAGGATCACATTTTTATTGTGATCTCTGAATAAGCTTCAAAGCTTTAAGATATTTCTATGAGTTTTTCCTAGGATGTGTGATTACATAGAAATGAGAGCTCCAATTTATAACGGTAGGATAGAAGAGTTTTGATAGATTCAAACTCTTTTGATATTATCTAATTAACAAATTAGATAATATCAATATTATCCAAAATAATTTAAATATATTCAAATATACTAATATTGATAAATAATCAATATTTATCAAAATTTAAGTGTCTATAATCGCAACCAAAGCAACCGTGGGAGCTAAGGACGAACTAACACTAAACAACAACACAACTGCAGAAAGACACTACTTATGTATCTATCGCACGAGAAGCGCACCGAAACTAAGGATTAATTGTCGGTTTTCAATTCACTCCTGGAGTCGTGGGTGATGTGGAAGCAAGGACCAAAAGAGGCACAACCAAATGGTCTGAAGTCTGAACACTACACACATTAAGGGGAAGTTTGAAATTACAAAGAAATGAACATTAATTACTAATTTACTATATTAAATTTGGATTCAGGAAATTTAAATTATAATCGTAATATACATTGAAGAACAACAATGCAAGTTGTGATGAAGAAGGAGAAAAATTAATTTATTACGCATATTTTGTTAATTATGCGTAGATTACAACCTGTTTATCATTTATTGTTGAGTTTTTTTCGGTATAAAATGGCTCCAGGTTATTAGAGTTTTTCAATTCATTATATTCCAATTGCAAATTAAATTAGCTTGAGAGTGATGGAACAGAGTAACGGAGTTGGTGATTATCATCTGCCACCGCCGCCGCCTAGGAGGTTGAGGATGACGGAGTACCATGGTTCTCCTCCTCCACCAAGACAATTTCCTCGTTGTCATTCCAACGACACCAAATTTTGTTATTTTAACAACTACAACATAAATCAACCAAGGTATTACTGTCGGACATGCAAGCGCCACTGGACTCATGGTGGCATTCAACGTGACATTCCCATTGGCGGCAAGCCCCACTGGGGAAGGAAATTTACCAATAGGTACGAGAATAAGAGGGTTCAAACATCGCCGCCTCAACTCCAACCATCTCGTCCACCGGCAAATGTAGCTCCCGTAACTTTCGGTCCTTTGATGATTCCTCCGACGGTGACACCTTATCGTGTCGAAAATGGTTATCTCAATATGGTAAACCCAGTGAGAACTATTGAGCCACCATATAACTCAAGCCAAAATGCTTTCCAGCCTACAACTAGGGATTATGGTTCAAGGACCCAAAATTTGTTTTTGAACAACAATGGTGGAGCTAGTTCATCTAATTCCATTCCATAAAATGCCTCCGTGTACAGCCGCACCACCGGTGGATACACAAATGATGGTTGGGGTTCATTGATAGCGAACCCGAATGATTGGTTGGATTTCTCCCATAGCTTTGACCCATCAACATGAAGAGTTATATGTTAGTCCTTGTAGAGTCATTTAATGCTTAATTTCCTTTGAGTACTACAAAAGAAATTAAATTTAAATGAAAGGTAGTTTTTTATTTAGGTACTTAGAGGGTTAAACAAGTAACATTTCATGTCACCTCATGTACCGTATTGATTGTTAAATAAATTAAATGGCTTTGTTTTAATTTACTTCACCTTAATTTATGTTATATTTCATGAAGCATATGTGCGAATGTGAGTGTTTAGTGCGTAGCATGTCAACACACATGCAGTGTGCGCGTGTGTATGCGAGTGGCATGTGAATATACAACCACATATGCTTGTTTATAAATGTATTCTAATTTCTTAAACTAGTAAGTAATTTTATTTTTCAGTATTATATTATCTTTAAAGAAAAATAAAAGATAATTTCTAGTTTGGGTATTAGCGGTAATCAATTTCATAATTGTAAACTTTAATTTATAGTTCCCCCGTTAAAGTAACTGTAGGCATGTGATTTTAGAAAAAAACAAACTTACTTTGATATCAACATATAAATAAATAAACACAGGAGTTTTTAAAGAACAAACTTAGTTTTGTTGTCATTTTCCCGCCCAAACTTTGATAGTCTATACGATAATTATTACGGTTAATTGATTACGGTAACACTCCAATTCAATGGTTAACCCATTTTAGTCTCCAATCTTTTTTCCAAAATTTAAATTTATTACAGTAAAACTGTAATCTTTACTTCTTAAATTATAAAAATATTATTTTGGAATCCAATATGCTAGTAATCCTCCCCAATATGCTGGCAATCCTATTACGTTACTGCTATAATAATAAGCTAACAACCTAACGCCATAATTACTTACCTTAATTATTATTATTATTATTATTATTATTATTATTATTATTATTGTTATTATTATTTTTATTATTATTATTATTAAATCCTCTTTAATATGGTGGCAATACTATCAAATTATAATAATTATTTTACAGCCAAACGCCATAATTACTTACCTTAATAATAAAAATAATAATCTATATATCTATATAAAAAAAAATTCTCCTATTTTATTTTCCTCGACTCACAACTAATGATTTTCAGAAAATATGATTCTATTTGTCGCAACTAAAGCAACAGTGGGAGCTAAAGACGAACTAACACTGAACAACAACACAATTGCAGAAAGACACTACTTATGTATCTATCACACGAGAATCGCAACGAAACTAAGGATTAATTGTCGATCTTCAATTAAATCCTGGAGTCCTGGGTGATGAACATTACACACATTAAGGGGGAGTTTGAAATTACAAAGAAATGAACATTAATTACTAATTTACTATATTAAATTTGGATTCAGGAAATTGAAATTATATTCGTAATATATATTGAAAAATTTGCAAGTTGTTATGAAGATGATAACAATTAATTTTATTATGCATATTTTATCAATTGTGCGTAGATTACAATCTGCTTACCATTTATTGCCGTGTTTTTTTCCGTATAAATTGGCTATAGTTATGTAGAGTTTTTTAATTCATTATATTCCAATTGTAAATTAAATTAGCTTGAGAGTGATGGAACAAGGCAACGGAGTTGGTGATTATCATCCGCCACTGTCGCCGGTTAGGAGGTTGAGAACGATGGAGTTCCTTGGCTCTCCTCCTCCACCAAGACAATGTCCTCGTTGTCATTCCAAGAACACCAAATTTTGTTATTTTAACAACAACAACATGACATGGTGGCATTCAAGCGCCACTGGACTCATGGTGGCATTCAACGTGACATCCCCATTGGCGGCAAGCCCCACAAGGGAAGGAAATCTACCAATAGGTACGAGAATAAGAGGGTTCAACCATCTCCGCCTCAACTCTAACCATCTTGTCCACGAGCAAATGTGGCTCCACTAGCTTTCGGTACTTTGGTGCTTCCTCCGATGATGACACCTTATCGCGTTGAAAATGGGTATCTGAATATGGTAAACCCACTAAGAAAGGCACTATTCATGTATGGGGTAGCAAATTAAATCATGCATCTATCGCACGAGAAGCGCATGGAAACTAATGATAATTGTCGATCTTCAATTCACTCCTGAGTGTCAGGTTTCTTGGCGGCGGCGGAATCAGTAGAACGAAGTTCTGCTGGTTGGCCGCCGTCGCAAACCAACATATTAAAAGGAATTGATTGTCGATCTTCAATTCCTCCTTTTTAAAAAACTTAAAATGACCGTTTTACCCCAAAATCCACAAACCACATATGCTTGTTATGTTTTATCTCCTTCATCTGATCTTAAATTATTGTCCATACATATCATTATAAATGTATTCTAATTTCTTAAACTAGTAAGTAATTTTGTTTTTCATTAATATATTACTAGTGTTTGACCCGTGCGATGCACGGGATGTAAATTACATAAACATTAATTATGTTTATGTTATGTTAAAAATTGGTTGAAGCAATACAGTAAGAATTTGGTATATATAATCATTCATTATATTTGGGAGATCAACAAAAACCATCTCAAAATGGTATGTTAGAAATAGTATAAAGGTGATGGTAATATAAAAATAATACATTAGAAAACTACAAATTATTGAAAACTTCATGATATACAACATTAGTGGTTGAGGTTGTAGTTGAACTTGAGTCTTTTGCTATCAATATTTTGAGGCCGTCTGGATTATTAACCCGAGATGCAGCTACGTACAACTGACCGTGTACAAAAACCGGTTTCTTTAGTACTAAACCTACATGGGTCAACGTTTGGCCTTGACTTTTGTTTATGGTCATCGCATATGAAAGCATCAATGGGAATTGCCTTCGTTGAAACTTGAACGGCAATCTTGGATCCGAGGGTGCCATTGACATTCGGGGGATTAACACTTTTGTACCTTTGTTGGGACCAGTCAGGATCTCGCCTTCAATCACATGATCTGCTAGCTTTGTGATTATCAACCGAGTTCCATTGCACAAACCAAGTGAATGGTCAATATTTCTCATTAACATTACTGGTGATCCGATTTTCAAGGTCAGTGTATGATTTGGTAGACCTGAAACCCGAATGCTATTTAGAAACTCCGGTGTGTGTACGTCTCCAAATATACCGTTATCGCCATCGGCTTTGCATACTGCGTCTGAACTATAGTATGACCTACTTTCGGCATTGTGCAACTCAGTCATATAGTCATTAACAGCGTTGACAACGTCGAGCGTCGGTGCTAATATGGCACGACCCAACAGGTGCTCGGGGTCAGTGTTCCCACTTGCAAACATAGGAAATGTACTGTGCACAATTGCTTTAATGTCGTCCCCCCCGGATGATACTAACATGTGCGTTGGTATTTCAATTTCTGCAAACCCGTTATTCTGGCCACCAAGCTTCCCATCGCCAATATTGGTAATCCAGTCAGCAAACTCTTGTAACGCATGCCGGTTTCCACCATTTGGTACCGAGCTGAGCCTGAGGTTTTTAGTCAACCTTAAGACTTTTCAAGTATCCCATAGGTATGATGAATTGATCGCTGAAGAAACAATGTCTTGCCGTGTACCTTTGGGAACTACTGGAAGAATTTGACGGAAATCTCCACCCAGTACAACTGTTTTACCACCAAACGTCTTCATTTCACTATTAGGTTCTACAAAACGCAACAAATCCCACATGAGTCTATCTAAAGCTTCAAAGCAATGTTTATGCATCATGGGAGCTTCATCCCAAATTATCAAGCTCGTCTTGATCAACAACTCAGCCAGGTCGCTACCTTGCTTAATGTTACAGGTAGAGTCCTCATTTATTGCAATAGGTATTGCAAACCTCGAGTGTGCAGTCCGGCCACCTGGTAGCAACAAAGAAGCTATGCCACTTGAAGCGACATTTAAAACGATTTGTCCTTTGCATCTGACTGCAGCTGATAACGCTCTCCACAGGAAAGTCTTTCCTGTTCCACCATAACCATAAACAAAAAATAAGCCACCCTTCTTGTTCTCAATATCTTTGATAACAGTATCATATATGAGACCCTGTTCTTCAGTTAGTTTGGCACAAAGGACCTCAGAATCTGCCTTCAACTGTTCCGAATCGTACGACAACTCTTCAAAAACCAATCGATTTTGAAACAAACGTGAATTATCAGTACTTGGTGTTGGCATCGGGGGGTAGTCTTTTAAAGACTTGTTTTGTTGACCCAACAGGTTTTCCAGTTCAATTAATGCAAAGTTCTTTTTCTCTTCCTCTGTTAAGACCAAATCTGTTAAAGTAACACCATCAAATTAGTTATAACTATAATCTAGTAAAAATGTTGGAAATTTTATTGTATACTAAAGAAGTAACATTACCTTGTTGTTTTAATATTCTCCTTTGATAATGTTGAGCATCTTCAGACAAATGCTCCCACACTTGATTCCAAACATTTTCGGGTCTAATAATTGATGATGATGTTAGTAAGACAACAAATAGCTTCCTCAATGAATGCGCACTTGACCAATAACTTGCTTCATTTATAGCATCAATGTACTCCTTATCATCGTCTAACAATCCATGAGCATAACACGCATCTCTAAAGGTTAAGTACTCAACACCGTTAACTGTCCTAATATCTTTGTAACTTGTCGGACCACGTACTATGTTCAATAGACACCTCAAATAAATATTTCGCCTGAAGCTGGAGGCACATAGAATATTCTACCAATTGAGGAACCCTTCTTTCTTGGATGCCATTCACGGATGTCCTTCTTCCAAACAAATTTGGTAGGCATCTCGATATACGTCAGTAGACTTGCTTCTTTGAACTTCTGATTGGCTACAAACCATGCATTAAACATACTTTGCCCAACAGTTTCCCTATTGAGGACATTATCAATTGTATCATCGTCTTGGAAAACAACTGACTGGCAGTCCGGCAAGTGAAAGCTTAATCGCTCAACCGGGGGAGTTCTGTACTGTACTTCAAAACTAAACAACCTCCATGTTGCCTCACATGCAGATACGTACCTGCAATCATAGTTCATGTTTATCTCATCGACAATCTCATTACCAGCTCCATCGATCGTAGCCTTATAAAACTCAGCAGTGACCCGGTCGTTGCCCTTGTTTACGTACTTGAATAAGTACTTGATTGACCTGGATTGGTTACACCATTCAACATTAATATGTGATTTGTATTTCAATAGTAAGTACCGATTATGTGGTACAACATATCTATTATCCAAATCTATTCCATTTTTTTTATTGTCCCCTTATCATCCCTCCTTCGATACAACGGGTAACCATCTTGGTCAAAATGCGATGCATCAATGTATCTTTTTGGAAAATGCTTTGAACACTTGCCATTTGCCATGCACGGGGATTTCATTCGGGCAGCACCACATGGGCCGTGCAACATGAATTCTCCAACATGTTTGTAGTATTCATTCTCTGTCACCTTGTCGGGGATCTCGGCTGAAATGATCGTGTCCATAAAGGCCGGGTCAGCAAATTTGTTGTTCGCTTGAAGGAATAGTAATATGTGAGCATGCGGAAGACCACGTTTCTGGAACTCAATTGTGTATATAACTGTCAAGAGTGTATTTATATTGTCAGTTATACGGTTACTATATTAATTATTAAGGAGAACAAAAACTTCGTTTGAATTTCGTTACACACCTACCTTTACGCGACCAAATAGTTTCCCATTTTTTATTTCCTTTATTAAACAGTCTAGCTTCATTTTGAAAACACGGCAAACAATGTCCGGGCGATCTTCAGCTTTCAAGTTTCTTTTCTCCAAGAAGCGTTCTATCTCAGGCCATTTAGGATTACATGTAAATGTAATAAAAAGATTGGGATAGCCTACAAATCTACAAATTGCCATGGCGTCTTGGTAATTTTGTATCATGTACCTTGCTACTCCAGTGAAACTTGATGGTAATATGATTCTTTTACCTTGAGAACTGGGTTGAACTTCACCTCGCGTCAGCGCATCAGAGAGTCCTTTGTAGGCCTCACACCTCAAAGCTTTTTTATTTAACCGAATATAGTGTAACCTCGAAGATTCAACCATAGTATATGCATCAACCAAGAATTGCTGGAATAACCTTTTAGCATACATTATAGTTGAGATCTCATTTGATCTTTCGTGTATACGGAACGCGAAGTACTCTCTTTGTGAAACACTCTTTCTTGAAAAGTCTTTTTTAGTACCCTGTGTAGCAAAATGTATATCTTCCCTGAAACCATCCTCTCCATACGGAAATAATATTGGGTATTGCAATGGTAAATAAGCTGGGTTTAATTCACTTATTCGTTTCAGGACTCCTGATCTAGACTCGACAATAATATCACGTTGTCCCATGTAAGGGTCTATATCTCCAACAATGAGAGCGGCAACCTCGGATGTAGTTGGAAGCGCATAAGTTCTGGCATCTTTGGTCCTCTTCCCTATTAATCTCATTCTTATCTGAGTTTGAGGATTAGATTCAATAAACGACTTGGCCATTCGGAATGACTTAACCAACACATTGTGTTCATCTAGCGTTTGCTTAATGTCGTGTACTACCTCAACATGCAATGTAGAACCATTGTTTTGCGCCCTAAACAATGAAGAATATAAAATATTAGATATTCCGTATTCAGACATGATCTAACTAAAATATAATTGATTAACACAAAGCAGTCTACCTCAAAGAGTTGAATCGATTTTCTATCTCATTTTCTGTATCGTGAATGTATAACTGGGCAAATTTAGGTTGAATGCCAACTGAAGGGACTAAGCTCCCAATGCGATGAAAATTTTGACCATTAATCCGGAATATAGGCCGGTGATGTTCCGTTGTTAATAGTTCTATCAATTTTGCCACCCATGGACGTGAAGCAGAACATGTTGTTGTAGGACCGTATATTCTTTAAAAAACATTTGTTTTTTTCACTGGTTGTAAAGAATAGGTCATGCAACTTCTGAGGAGGCTTGTCATTAATGGCAACTTTATCTTCCCATTGACACAACATGCAGAGTATTTTGGATTTTCAGAGCCCTTCGAATTGCTTGACCGTTCATTGTACCAAAAAAACGAATTACAATGCTCGCAAACATAATCTGGATCACCAATATCAAAATAATAACCTACCAGACCGCAAAAAATGTATTAGTTCGTATGTAAAATAATAATGTAAGATAGTCCCTTAATACAAACAGAAAACGTTCTGGTCATAGCATATCACAAATGAACTCACCATTATTTGGGGGCGTATTGTCCTGTAACGGTTCAACAACTTCCTGAAAATCATGCATTAGATTTCGGCAATGCTCGATGGGTCAACTCTCTGGCTCTACAACGACTATTTGCATATTATTGTCATTTGTAATACAACTGTTACTTGCAAACCCTAAAAAAACAATATGTAATTAAAAGTCAATATGATTACATATTTACTTAAACATTATAACTGCATAAATTTAAAAATCTATCATTCTATCCCTCGATTTATGTTTATACCTATTTGCGAATTTGGTGTTCAGTTTAAGTCGAATGTGCAAGTTTGACGGTTACAGGTAGGTGTTTTGCCGTGGTCCTCATTGACTGTACCGCAGTTTGCTATAATATAACATATATTTTAGTCAAAGTTTGTTAGAATAATAATTAATCGATTTGACTATACACTCTTATTACAATATTTATTTGTGTTTGTTGAAGTTCATACTATTTGCTACGTTGCTAGATGGCATTCTGCTACTCAAATTTTTCGTTGATGTAGTATGTATTCTCCTTCGTATCGGAGAAGAAACTGTCAAAAATGAAGGAATAACGACTATTATTAACAA